ATTTTGCGCTATCATACTGGGTGTATGGTCGGCTGTGTGCGATTTTGCGAGTGTGGTAAAATCGCATAACAGCAAAATCGCATAACAGCCGAGCATACACCCAGCAGCGCTGCTGATGCCTGAACGGTATGTGGAATGAAGTGGGCGGGCATCAGGAGGCCACTATGGCACGGGACAAGCACTATGGGCAGTCTATCTGAAGTGTACCTGGCGTATAAGACGACCCCCCACTTGGAGGCATATTTTTCAGGGCCAAAAAATCGTCTTATACGCCGGCAAATACGGTAGTCCAGTAAGCCAAAAGACATGACCCAGGAGGTCAAGGGCAAGTTTCATCACAAAATTACCTCAAGGAAAACAAAACAGAAATACTTTTCAGGGGCCTTAAAGCTTATGAAATCAGGGACTCAGATAAAGCTAAAACTCTATATTCATTCCCCTTTTCCTGTGTTACTAATGAAGCAAGAGATGACAGAGTAGATCAAAAAAGACATCTGAACACATTGATTAGGCTATTGTGCCAACTCTCTGGGGCTGATACCAACAGCACCATTACGCATAAAACTGAGGAGGGACCACAAGGATGGTTCTGTTTGCTAACTAATAAAATAATGACATCCAAATACTCACTGCCACCATTAGGGCTCTGTACTGCTCATCTTCCAACCCACCATCTGCTCTAGCCTGCATGGCTAGATTTATCTAGTTAGCACTGAGGCGGTCTGCTCCTTAGTCAGGGTCCCAAGCCTGTTGCCAAAAGGATGACAATCTCCTCCTCCTTCCCTGGATTGACACATGATTCCATTTGGGGACGCAGAACCAAAGGAACAGTGGGAAACTTCACAAGTGTATCCGTCTCGGTTTTCTAACCTTGATGTTGGCACAGCTCTTAGAAAGATAAAAAACTGACAATTTACATCATAACCATAAAAAGCAGGACGAGAAGCAAAATAAAGAAATCATAAATATTAAGTAGGACATGAAAATAAATAGGGAAAGGGATGGGATGCTGTGGACTTTGAGACAGCTTTGCAGTTACTATTTTATCCACATAAAAATGCATGGTGGGTATTTTATGAAAGTAGGCTTTTCTATTTGTGTGTTAACCGACAATTCAGTCAAACAGACAGAGCCTATAATGACCCTCAAAATGGACTACCAACATCAAAGGAGCATTAAATTGCTTACTCCCATATTAATTTCTACAAGGGACCGGGAGTGGGGAGGAAAGTATAAGTAAGGTTTTCCTTCTTCTGGAAAGCTTGGCTTTAGGTCCATGAAAAACTGGGCATACAGACAAAAGCAGTTTGTGGGCCTCAAATCCAAGCCACTTGTTTGTGTTTGTACTATATTATGATGATTCCAAGTCAATGGCCATCTTGCAAATTCTGTCCCCTCCCCGCAACTCCATCCAATTTCACAACTGCTCCCCCTAACAGCAGTGAGCTTACAGACAGATTTGCAAATTAAAAATGAAAAGAGAATGCTGAAAACTAAAACAGAACTTCTCCAACAGCATGCTCTGTTTCAGAAACTGTGCAGGCTTTCACGTCTACCCTAATGAAGGGATGTGGAAGGCGCACAGCGATTTGGTAGCTTCATTTCAGTGAGCGCTGGGTGGTGTGTTTACAATTTCATTTTTATTTCAAAGCTCCAATTAGCAACTTACATTTGCTGCTTGCTGTCTATTAATCTCCACATGGGAATGGAAATGCTCAGTGACCATGGTGAGTGGTCAATGCTGCAGTTTACTGTGCAGCTTCTCAGGAGGCTGACATTTTGATGAGTTAATTCATATAAGGAGAAATTTCTCCAAAGTGTTGCTAGTTTTCTGGGACCATAGAAAGAAATGCACTAATGACAAGGATAACTCATCCTTTTTGGTCTCAATAATAACATAAGCAAGTAGAGAAAAAGGTGAAGTGAAATGTAGTCCAAGACACTGGCAATCACACACCACTGTAAATTTTTGTTCCACTCGCTGACTTGCCTTACCACAGTGGGTCTCAAGCTCCAGCCTGCTTCAGAATCATCTGGAAGCCTTATTAAAAAAAATGTCAGGGTAAGGACAGAGAATTTGCATTTCTAACAATTTTCCAGGTGTCCCTGATGCTGCTGGTCTGGGGCCATACTTGAAAATTGCTACCTTACCAACAGTTCTGCTCGCACTTAAAGCAAAACACATGTGAGGAACAATGATGGGGCAGTCAGCTGTGAAGCAGAGAATGGAAATAAAGGCTAGAAAGAAAGGCTTTTTCAAATCAAAACGGCTTCAGAGCTTCAGGGGGGCAGCTCCAGGGGGAGAAAAAAATGATGCAAAAGACAGCAGGAAGTCACCATGTTCCAGACTCTGCAATGTAATCTTCTCCTAATTATGATTTCCAAGTGAAAATGCCCTAACAGGGAATGGGAGGGGTTAGAAGTGCTGATGGTGGAGGAGCAGATGGTTCTGCCTTCCTATCAGCTCCATAAATTATAAACAAACACCTTGTACAAAGATCGATTTGTAGCCTGTTGCTGGTTGGCCAGATGAAGCCATGGGAGTGATTAGCAGTTGCAGTACTTTTGCAAATGCAGTAGACACTATCCAAAGGGGTTTAAACCAGCAGGAAAATTTCCTTTGGGCTATCTCTGAGCCCCTCCTATCTATATATATAAAAGCCTAAGCGACCGGCTGACCGGTAGCTATGATGCACACTGACCACCAGGGGGCAGATGCTCAACATAGGAGCGGAAAGCACAGGCATAAAAACGTGGAACCGACTGATGAATCTCAGAGGGAAGAGGGGAGGGAAAGGGCATGAAGAGATTAATCAAAGATCTTATATGCATACTAGAGGCCCGGTGCACGGATTTGTGCACCGGTGGGGTCCCTTGGCTTAGCCTGTGGGGATCAGGCCGAAACTGGCTCTCCTTCATCCCCTGAGGGGTCCTGGATTGCGAGAGGGTGTAGGCCAGGCCGAGGGACCCCACCGGTGCATGAATCCATGCACCGAGCCACTAGTTGCAGAATAAGACCTCCTGCACAGAGAGCGGCAGGTGATACTATAAGCATTCCCCAGTTACTCCATCTCTGTGCTATGATCTGCCCCAT